GCGGCAAGGGGAGGGGGGAGGGGGTGGAAGAATCGAGCGGTGCACAGAGGCGCGACAAAATTGAAGGTAGACCCGTGACGGATTTAATGGCGGCTAGATTGTCCATCCCTGGTTTCCGAGCGGCCACCGATAACTCGGTGATGCGGCTGCACTCCACACGGACGGAAAGAACGTTCCTCTGAATTTCAATTTGAGTGGGCCATTTATTTGGCCCCCCCCGCCCTCTCCTCTCCCCCGTTCAAATCCTATATTTGCCTATGAAAATTCGAATGCGCGTTGCCGGTGAACGAGAATAAGCGCAATTTTTCTCGGCTTCTTTTTTTTTTTTATTTTACGCGATTAACTTGTATGAAATAAAAATATAAAAATATGATATAATTAATCGATCCTCGATCGAAACTTCGATCGAAATTTATATTCGTATAAAAGTAAAAAATATATATTTTTCGATACAATTAATTGAAAATTAGGGAAAAGAAGTTTCAAGTGAAGCTTGCTAAATTCTTTCAGATTTCTCTCTCCTATGAAATAAATAATAATATCCAAAAAGAAAAAAAAATCCAATTCTCTTCCATCCAAAAAAAAAAAAGAAAAGAAAAAAAAATACGGAAGGTAGAACGTTAAAATCGAACTCGGAGGACCGAGGGTTTTAAAAATGGTTGGTCGAAGTTGGAGAGTTGGTTCCCGCGATTTTTCTTCCGCGAGGGAGGAAGAAGTTTACGAAACGAAAAGAAGGAGGAGGAGGGGGAGGCGAGAAGACTGGTGGAAGTCTCGGGGAAAGGAGGGGAAGGGCAGGCCAAGTTCTTTAAGACGAGAAATAAGAGCGGCTCGGCCCCTTATCTGGATAGGAGGCCGCCATTCTCGAGGCAAGGAACGGAAAGGCGAAACGGAAACCTGCGAAAAAGTCACGAGACAGTCGCGTGGGATCCGCGCTTGTGAAACGTGGAAAAGAAAGGGAGGGGAAGAAGGATGGAGGAGAGATAACCGGTGCATTAAGATCCCTAATCTAAATGAACGCTCGTTCCGGTCCAGTAGTAATGGCGGTTTATCCACCGTCGCTTGCTTCCTTTCAAACGATTTAACGACGATTTTCGAAACGATTGCTGCGATCGCGTCGCGTGTCCTCGTATCGAATCCAACGTCAAAGCCTGGCCCTTTTTATCTTTTTATTTCTTTTACTTTTTGACGCACATTGAAAATATAGTATAAATATAATATATAATAAAATATTAATATTTTAGTATTTTAATAATATTTATAATTTGAACGAGAGACAGAGAGAGAAGGAGAGAGAAAGAGAGTTTCTTCTTCTCCTCCTGGTTTTTGATCCGTATTTTCGACCTGCATTGGGTATTTTTTAAATACTGATTCGTAAATATTGCAATCGATCGTCTTTTGGTCTGAAAATAAATTAACCAAGGAAATATTTTATTATTGGCCTATATCATATTGTATTCGATGTTCAGGTATTTACATTCGCGAAAAGTAAGTCAAAATTGACTAAAAATCGAGCAATTTTTCATTCCGTGAAGAGTGTTTTCGATATGATAAATCAATTAGAAGCTAATAATTAATAATTGGGGACAATTTAAAGTTTTTAATTACCTGTCAGAGAAGACAGTTGCGAATAATTATTTACTTCGACGATTTATATAGCGAAAATCTCATCTGTTCGTGTGTAATGGCAAACTGTATACTCTTTGGAAACGGACGATTATATATTTCTTTCTACGAACCTTCCACTTCTACTATGCCAAATCTATTATGCCAAAAAAAGAAAGGGATCGATTTCTGCCTTAACTCAACTCTCTCTCAACTATATTACACCTCTTTCACTTTTTTCTCTAATAATAAATTTGTGCTAAAAAATGCGACGTACCTGGTTGCACAACGTCGAAATTTCCAAATGCAGGCTCCATGCATCCGTGGTATCTTAACACTGTGCGCGCACGTATTTGCCAACGATCTGCTTCCGACTATTAATGCCAGATACGGTATTCCGCGGCGTGAAATCGTTTCGCCAACAGCATGGCTCGATGTATAATCGGATTGGGCCGGATAGCATTGTGACGATTTCTCGCCATTTCATTCGCCCATTCGGGATGTAAATTGTGGCGAAAGAATACCGGATATACCGGTTTCGATCCTATTTTCAACTCGTTCATCAAATTGTACTCGATAATATTTCCCCCCCTTTTTTTTTTTTTTCTTTTCAAGTGCAAGCTTGATTGTTGAGCGTTCGTTACGAGCATTTTGTGCGAACTCTCGAGAGTGGATAGTGTTTTTCTCGAGTGTGTCGAGAATTAAAAAAAAAAAGAAGAATATTCTCGAGATTATCTTCAAATTGTCAAGAATTACAATATTGGAAAATATTTTATAGGCGTGAAAATTATTATACAGTTACTCTAAATAAGAGAGTAAATGTATAATAATAAGTAATAATATGATAAATGTAACAAATATTTTCGAGAGTAATTTTCTCGAAAATATTTCACCCTCGAATATATATATATATATTTTTAGATTCGTGAGATTGTGTGCCGTTTCGTTGAGAGGAAATTATTATCGAATCGCTCTCAATCGCGGTGGAAAATATTTTCGAAACTTTTTACCCCTCGAATATACACATTTTCAAAATATATCCTGCGATTCCTGCTTCGCTATTTTCTCGTGGAAGAAAATAAAAGTTTTCTTGCAAGTTCAGTTGGCGTATCTATCCCTTTATTACGATTTCTATCGTAATCTATCGCTAAGGAAAAAGGGAATTAAGTTTCGAATGAATTTACAAGTTGGAGGCAGATCCAACGTTTTACGTTTCCTCACGTTTCGCGAGATTCGGGATGGAATATCGTATAATGACGAGGGAAGAGGATTGGAACTGCTTGCCGAGGATTTTTTCCTTTTTTAATAAATTCGCCATAGAAATGTTTTATCCGACGATAAGAAAGAAAGGAAAATTTGAAATTCAAAACTATATTCAGATTTGTTTATTTTCTCTCATTCCATATCGCCTCGTAACGAATTTCTTGATAATGACGATGATACTTGTTCATGAAAGAAGAAGCTAAATTCTGTTGTTAAATTTATCATTTCACGTCCTTTCTCATCTCAATCCAATCTATATTAACTCCCGTAATCCTCTCTTTCTCTGTTTCTCTGTTACAATAATGTATTATGGAATTCGTAGAAAATGAGAAGCTCCTCTATGAAATCCGTTTAACAAATGTCCATTTGAGAAATTTCAGTGTTTCGTATAATTCTCTACAAAATCCTTTCATTCGATTAATATAATAAAATTTCGAAAGTGACGTTACTTTGATGATCGATCAACACAGGCAAATGATCGTCATAATTATTCCTCGAATTCCATCTCCGTTTCCTCCCCACCCTTTATTTATCCCTATCTTTATATAATAACGATCGAAAAACCCGTAAAAAAATGTTTATTCGACGGATAAAAATTAGAGCGCACGTATAAGCCGGCCGCAATTAGCGCAATTCGTTCCCCAATGTTTCATCGACGTCGCAAGTTTCACGAAGATAATCCAGAAAACTGGGGACACACCGATAATTAACGCGAAGCCACTGTCCATTTTGCCCGGTATTAAAACCGCGTTAACAATCCCTGCAATCCTAATCCCAATCTCGCGACCCGAGTATTTCGCGTATTTTTCCCTTGTTGAAAAATAATTTAATTCTTGGAAAAATATTTATCAATATTTTCGCCTGAGTATTAGTAAATAAATAAATTCGATTCCGTTTCTCCTCTCGATATCATCTCTAGGGATTGGAATAAACCTTTTCGATACAGTATTTCGATACTGTTTTTCGTTTCTTCTTTTCATTAAATGTCACTCGTTCTTAACTCGAGGATAGAGCGAAACAAAGCTCCTCTCTCATTTTTTGAAAAGAAAGAAATTTTTTTTGACAGCGTGCGTGAAATGGAAACGCTTCTTTTGGTCGAGTGACCAAAAATTCAGAGAGAGAGAAAGAGAGAGAGAGAAAAATTTATATTATACATAAATATTATATATAGAGAGAT